GATTACACTTGCGTGGATCAGAAGACCAAGTTCTTATTGGAAAGTGTTCGTTGCAAACAGAGTTCAAGATATTCACCAACGAGTAGCACCAAGCCAGTGGAGATTTTGTCCAGGAAGTCAAAATCCTGCAGACCTGATCACAAGGGGAATTCCTGCATCTAAACTCAGAGACTGCAAGCTATGGTAGAAAGGTCCACATTGGTTACAACAGCCGCGCAGTTACTGGCTTGTAAGTGAAGTGCTGAAAGCAGTTGCAGAGGAGTGTCTTATTAAAGCAAGGAACGAATCTATTGGCGTGATTAACATTGCTTATCTATCAACGGTTCAAGAAAGCATTCCCGCACTGGCATATAGATATGAAACCTGGCAACGTATGGTACGAGTAACTGCATGGATCCTAAAGTGGTCACGTTCACGTGGGGAGCCAAAGAAAGGGAAGCTGTCTGCGGAGGAATTAAAGGAATCTGAATTCTCGTGGCTGAGAAACAGACAAAGAGTTGTTTTCCTCCCGGAAATTGAGGAATTGTGTAACCAGGGACATTCAAGTGAATCAAAAGAGTCACATCGTTAAGTTGGATCCACAATTTGATGAAACCAAGAAGTTACTTGTGGTTGGTGGACGTCTGAAGTTTGCACGGATTCCAGAATAAGCCAAGCATCAAATCATCATACCACGTGACGACCCAGTTATAGAGAAATTGATCATGCACCTTCATGTCAAAGCTTGCCATGCGGGTCCAGAGACCACTCTAGCCATTCTCCGTCAACGTTTCTCACACAAGGACGACGAGAGGTAAAGCGAGTTTTGAGAAAATGTCTCACGTGTAAACGTTGGCAGACACAGCCTGTTCAACTGTTCACCGTTACCAGCCGAAACAGTACAGATAGCGCCACCATTCACGAACATTGGAATGGGCTTTACAGGTCCACTGTATCTCAAAGTAAAAGGAAGTCCCAAGCCAACTACGTCAAAGGCCTATGTGTGCATTTTCACCAGCGAAGACACTCGTGCAGTTCATTTGGAATTGTTGAACAGTATGACGACAGAATATTTTCTGCAAGCCTTTCGTCCTAAGTCTAATAGACGTAAGATGGCGAAAGTGATTCATTCAGACAACCAGACCACATTTCATAAAGCAGCAAAGGTGTTCAAGGCGTCGACTCAAAGAATGCGGATGATGAAGATAGATCCAACTGTCGTTGAAGATAAATTAGCCAATCAAGGTGTAAGCTGGAAATTCAAAACGGAGAGAGCCAGTTATCGTGAAGGGCATTGCCGACAACTCAAAGAACCACTCAGGAAGGTGTTGGGGAAAGCTTTTCTCAACTACACAGAAATGATGACTGTCTTGACAGACATAAACTCCCGTCCTCTGACTTATGTCGGTGATGACATACGAGATGGAAGAATCATTACCCCAGCCTTATTAGCCATTGGAAGAGATTTGGGAAGTCCACCTGATGCACCACCTGAAAGCAGGAATCTCCCTCTCGGAGCGCTTTAGGTACCAGCAGCGACTTCAAAGTTATTTTTGGTCTCGTTGGTTACGTGAATATTTGCCGGGCTTAACTGTTCGCCAAAAGTGGACCAAGGAAGAGATACCATTAAAACATAGCGATGTGCTTCTCATATCAGAGGACAACTTACCTAGAGGGAAATGGAAAGTTGGGAAAATTGTGGACACCTTTCCTGGAAAAGATGGACGAACTCGCACAGTAAGGGTCCAAACCAAGAAAGGAATGATAAACAGACCAGCATTTAAACCATCGATTGATGTCGAATTTTATGTCCTCAGAACAATGCCGTCATCAAACTAATATGTACACGTTACTGTGACGTCATTATGAGGTCATTTGCAATGGTAAACCATTGTATTGAGGTCAGACATAGATTTTTGCCAAAGGACGGTACAATTTCTGTTTTTTCTGCAAAATATGACAAATAAATAGAGAAAAACTTGTAGCCATTATGTCATAGTGAGAATTGAGTTGAATGAAAGTGAGGTAGACACTCTTTGAACGCTTTAAAAGCGAAAAAGTGGCGATAAACACCACCTTGAGGGCTGAATAATGATCAACTTATTAACGGGATAGACTTTTTATCGGAATTTGAAGAGAAAAAACACTTGTCACTTTCTCTTTAGTCAGAAACCACTCTGGACCACGCATTTAGTCGCTTTTTAAAATTAACTTGCTAGAGCTTGGATATATAACGGAAATCGCCACAATTTACATAAATAGACTCCAGACACTGAGCGACAAAAGTAGTTGAGGCACTTTAAGAAAATGACGCTTTTCGATATTTAAGCGCTTGTTCCTTTTTCATTTGCATCTAGCGTTAATTCTCTGATACCCCCCGCCCGCCCCCAATTTAATGTCGTGTAGGCGCTGTTGTCTGTGCAACCGAAGAAATAGAAAAATAAACATTGTTTGGAGGGAAAGGGGAGAAAATCTGTCCAAGACGCTGGAAAATCGCATTTTACTGTGTCATTTAGGTTAAAGTGCAACTAACCCCCCAAATTTATTTTCGCTTCTATAAATCTCCTTGTTTCTCTGATCACCTCTGCGAAAAAAATATCGTTGTAGCTATTTTTCCGTTAATTTTCTATGAATTTCCAAAGTTTGTAAAATTGGCCTTTTCCACGGCCATGACCGAGGAATGCAATGCATTCGTGTATTTTATATACAACCACACGTACGAGGTCGACAATCGGCGGCTGAGTTTCTTGAAGGCCCTTCCACATACGCAATTGTTTCGTTCTTATAGCGACAAAATATATCTCAGTTACAAACTTAAAACGAATCAAGCATTGTATTTCAAAGATGCAACCAACCATCCTGCAAAGTGTGTATTAAATGTAGAAATCACACCGACTCGGAAAAAAAGTCCGAGTTCCAGATGGAATTTGAACCCACGACCCTCCGTGTTATAGACCGAACGCTCTAACCGCTGAGCTACTGGAGACTATGGTGAGCAAGGGTAAAATGTGGGCCTTTGTCCGAAACCGGATCGCGCGGTCACACAGCCAAATGTTGAATTGGCGCATATGAACTCACTAACTGCATCACGCAGTCACAT